GCCTTCAGTGTCCACGGCTCTGTGAGCAATGGCTGAGGGGCAGGAGGCTGCAGTGGCCCCGAGCTGCGGGAGGCCAGCTGCACCACGGAGTGAGCAAGGGCTTCAAGACAGGGCAGTGCCGTGGGGCTGCATGTGGCATGGGAAGGACTCCGAGATCTCCTTAGAACGGGGTGACTGAGTCATCGGGAGATGACAGCCACAAGGAAGGCCACGAGCCTCAAAGGCATTGGGCAGGGCACTTAACTTGAGGGTGGCAGAGCCCTCGTCTGGAGAAGGAAGCCTGGGGAGAGCAGCGGCCCTGCCCCCCAGGCCGAGTAAATGTTGGGGATTTATGTGAGATGAGCCACGTCTCTGTGCTCATCATATATATGCTGAGAATGGTCACCAAACCGTTACCCTCCGAATGGTAGGCTTTCCCTTTTCTTCTTGTTATGTGCCGTACGTTTTAAACTTAGGAGCTCTGGTGGTGTAGTGCCTAAGGCATTTGACTACTAACTAGAAGGCTGGAAGTTCAAACCCACCAGCTATTCCTCGGAAGGAAGACTGGGCAATCTACTTCTGTAAAGATTTACCACCTTGGAAACGCAAGGAGGGGTTGCTGTGAGTCGGAACCCTGTCGATGGCAGTGAGTTTGGTTTGGGTTTCTTTAAAACTTAAGACTATCTATAAAAAAAACTCAACCAAACTCACTGCCGTTGATTCCAACTCAGAGCAACCCTCTTTAGGTTTCCAAGGCAGCAAATCTTTACAAAAGTAGATTGTCCAGTCTTCCACAGTGGCTGCTGGGGTTTGAACCGCCAACCTTCTGGTTAGTAGTCAGATGCCTTAAGCAGTAGCCACCAGAGCTCCTTACACTTTCTATAGTGATCAGATCATTCTCTTTATAAAGAGAAACAAAGACAATAAAAGGGAATGAATGGCTGCCAGAGAAACAAATCCTCAAACCCCCAAAGAAACAAAAACCTCAAACTAGGAGCAAGCCAACGGTCAGTTTCTGAGTTCCAGGTCCAGGGGGTGCATGTTGCTAGCCAGGTGTTTTCCTGCACGAACAGAACGGGTGGAAGTTAGCAGTGAGTCCACAGCCCCTTCCGGCAGCACGCTTCCTCTGGTGACATTGCCATGGGAATGGAATCCTCAGGCGCCTGTATGTTGGGGATGCGATTACCTGGGGAGGTGCAAACACAGGAGGTGGAGAGGGAGGGAGTTCTCACGCCAACAAGAAAGGAGGCACGGGGCTCTTCAAAGAGTAGCACCTCCCTAGGCCTGTGGGCGGCCACAGCCACGGCTGGTGGGCACACTTCAGGGCTGGGTGAGAAATGGTTGTACCCCTCTGGGTGCTCATAAAAGCCGCCTGGGCCCTGCTCCGTAAGGAGGGGAGACGGGGACGCATGAAGCAGAGGCAGGAGGGCACGGTCCCCCTGGTCAGACTGGGCCATGCACCCTGCCTCCATCTTCCGTCCGACTCTGCTGCTCTACTGGCTGGCCGCCCTCCGGCCCGTCCAGCCCGAGACACTTTTCCACAGCCGGGACCGCTCGGACCTGGAGCCGTCCGTCGTGCAGCAGGCCCAGCCCATCGCCGACTTCCGCTCTGCTCAGGTAACAGCCCCGCAGCCCGAGTGCACTGCCGGCACGTGCACCAAGGGGTACACAGGAACCCCCAGCTCAGTGCACAGGAACGTGGGCACACAGCGTGCACACACACACTTTTCAAATGGCATCCTCCATTACGGAAACCTGTGCAGCTGGCCCGCTTGCTCTTCACCCGAATCCACTGAGCACCTACCAGGCACCCCACTCGCTCTCGGCCCGGAGACCCGCCAGAGTGCCGCGCAGGCGCGGATGGGCGCACTGGGCGGAGCCGCGGCCCAGAGGCCGGAAGCAGGCCGAGCCGGCGGGTCCCGGGCGCCGCTGGAGGGTGCTGTGCGCCGAAGGGGGGCTCAGCCGGTGTTATTTAGATGCTGGACCACGCGGGGGTTAGCCTCCGGGACGTGGTCAGCGGTTCCCGTGCGCGGGGCAGCAGATGTCACATGTCCGAAATGCCAGCACGGGACGGGGCCGCGGCGCTGATCCCATGGCACCTGTCGGCCTTGGGGCTGAGCCCCCAGCGCGCCCTGAGGGGGCCCCACGGGAGCCGGGAGAGCAGCGTCCCAGGCCGAGGGCACCGCGCAAAGCGCCCCGGAGCACGGGTCGCGGGACAGGAAGAGGGAGGAGCACGGGCCAGGGGTCCGGTTGGGCGCGGCGGGAGGCGCTGAGGGGCCACCGCCCGGGCCCTCTCTCCGCAGCGCTTCCTGGCCAAGTACGGCTGGACCACGAACCCCCGACTCGGCGCTCGCGGAGCCCCGGGGCCCAGCGCCTTCGCCCGGGCCGTGCGCGCCTTCCAGCGCGCTAACCAGCTGCCGGCCACCGGGGCGCTGGACACGGCCACGCTGCGGGCCATGAACAGACCGCGCTGCGGCGTCCGCGACCCCCAGGGCGCCCCCGAACTCCGCGGCGGCCCGCGGCCCTCGCCGGCGGCCCGGCCCCGCGCAAAGCGCTTTCTACAGCTGCTCCGTCCCCTGCCGGGCGGTGAGGAGGCCTGGCGGGACGGCGAGGCCATCAGGGTCTTCTCCAGAAGCACCCTCAAATGGAGGCTGGTGGGCGAGGGCTACAGCAGCCAGCTGTCGGCAGACGACCAGAGGCACATCTTCAGACTGGCCTTCCGCATGTGGAGCGAGGTGACGCCGCTGCACTTCCGGGAGGACCTGACCGGCCCCAGCACCCAGGTGGACATCAAGCTGGGCTTTGGAAGAGGTAAGGTGGGCACTCGCATGAGCCCACCGTGCCAGGACTCTGCATGCTGCCGCCTCTGCCCTTCCTAGGGCAGGGTCCCTGTAGCACCACTGGGGCCCTCGGGAGGAGGCTGGCTGTACAACAGCCTTGGTACTCGATACACACACTATCACAGTTCCTCAGCACACGTCTCCTGTATTCGTCACATGAGGCATCTGGCCCTGAGCTGGACAGGGCAGCCGCCAGCACCCCAGTTCACCCGGTGGCAAAGACCCTGGGTGGTGACTGCTACCACAGGTGCCTGCCTGTGCCCCCGGGGGCGAGCACCTCTCAGTGTCCAGGTGTCAGGGCAGGTGGGTGAGCAGCCTGGGGTGGGCCATCCCAGTCACCCAGACCCCCTTGCCCTCCAGGCCGGCATTTGGGGTGCCCGCGGGTTTTCGATGGGAGCGGGCAGGAGTTTGCCCACGCCTGGCGCCTGGGCGATATTCACTTTGATGACGACGAACACTTCACGCCTCCCACCAGTGACACGGGCATCAGCCTTCTCAAAGTGAGTGTCCCAAACGGCTCGTGCTGACGGGTCAAAGGGCAGTGCAGAGAGCCCTACAGCAACGCCAGAGCTTCCTCAGTCAGCTTGGGGGAAGGGGTTTCCTCCTTCATTAGCGTGGCTCATCAGGGAGCACAGGCCAGCCCCTGTGGGTGCCGGCCGCCGGGGATGGGCACGGCACTGCTTGCTGCCTGGGGTCCCACTTGCAGGTGGCCATCCATGAAGTTGGCTGTGTCCTTGGCTTGCTTCACACCCTTGTGTCTCACTCACTTGCAGGTGGCTGTCCACGAAATTGGCCATGTCCTCGGCTTGCCTCACACCTACAGGACAGGATCAGTGATGCAGCCAAATTATATTGGCCAGAAACCTGCGTTTGAGCTGGACTGGTCAGACAGAAAGGCCATTCAAAAGCTGTACGGTAAGACTGCTGCAAGCAGGATCATCCCGGGGCACAAGAGAACACCAGCAGGACCCCACCCACTCCTCACTGGGGAGCGGGGCCCAAAGAGCACACAAGGGCACAACTCAAGAGGTCAGCCCCAGTCACCGCCCTCCAGCTCCATGATGGGATTCTTAGATAGCAGGGGCCATGCCCAGCGGGTAGCCACAGGGGGACACTCCCTCCTGGGCTCACTCTTCCTCCTGCCACACCACATGTGAACCGTGGTTTCC